AAAGACTTTCTAAGAGAAACTGATTAAAAACACGTTACACATGGAGAAAAACCACGAAAACGCCCATGCAGCTAGTTCGTTCGCGAAATCTGAACCACGTACCGAACTACCAGGGTTCAGCGGCCGATGGAGGCCCGATAGCCGTTTAGGATAAACAATTCTAAGTGTTTTACATTATAGAAGTTATAAATTTTTTAATGATTTATTATTACAGTTAACTAATGGTTAATAACTCTCTTTTTGCCTTTCGTGTATGTAAGCAATTATTACGTAATGCTAAAGTTTCTCTTTATAAAAGATATCTTTCCTTACTTAATATCTTGAAAATTCTGTCACTCAAATACGCTCAGATAAGTCACCATTCAAGAATGCTTCTGTTTTAAGACACTCCTACGTTACGATTTTCAAAATTTGGATCTCATAAGTTAAAACATCTTTTTTATAAGTATATATACTTTTAGGTTAAAAAAATGGAATACAGAAGTTTGTTTCTCTGAAAAAAAAATTTATTGATATTTTAATGAAACTATAAGAAAAAGTTTTAAATTTAGTTGCACAAAAATCAGACAGGAAAACTGGCAAATATTATCACACAGGAAATCTGGCGTATTTCACAATGTTCATAATTATCCCACAAAGAAAAGTGGCAAATTCCTAATAACTGTATGTTATCAAACAGGAAAACTGATAGAATTTAAAAAGCAAAAAAGAAAAGAAAAACGGTTCATCACGTACATGTAATTTACATGTTCAAAAAATTATTTTGTTACAGAAACTCTCTAAAGTACACTGTGTGCTTGCTGACATCCATTAAAGTTCTTTGATTTAAAAAATGATCCTCTTCACCCCCCCCTAAATAAAATGAGAAAGAAACGAAAAGAAACGAAAAGTGATTGAAAAGTGGGACACTACCTCGGTAAATCAAACGAAACAATTTACTGAAACAAACTGCGATTACAAATTCTTTGAGAAAATGTCTTCTTAAAGAATGAATAAGTAAGCAAATAAACACACACTGAACAAAAGTATGAACAGCTGTTTCTAGCTATGGCGATTTATCGCTTTATTTATTTATTTAGTTTGCTTTTTTTACGTTTTCTCCTGTTTTCTTAACCAGTTTAGCTGCAAATCTTTCATCAGCTGTTCCATATAATGATTGCATTAACAAGAGCAACATTAGTTTTTGCAATAATTTATATGCATTTTATATTTTTCGATTTATTATTTATTACCTATGCATCCGTGTTACAAATTAATTATTTATAGAGAGTGATTTTCTGTTTCATTAATTTAAGAAAATATCCACTGAAAAAGGTAAACAGATGACACATTAACACTTCGTCATGAACCCTCTTCTAAATAAAAAAACGAGTCTAACAGCTCGAAAACGAGTTTACCACAAAAAAAAAAAAAAAAAAAAAAAATACAGCTTTTTTTTCATATAAAAGTTAAAAAATACAGAAAAATCATGCACCTTCATAAATGAAAATATTACTGTTATCAGTTTATGAAATTATGTTTTTGCGGTTGAATGAAAGTTAAGTTCAAAATATTTCATTTTAGATATCTTTTTGTTCAATGGTAACAGTTACGACCATTTCCTTAGAACGTCCTCCACAAAAAATCTCCTTAGGCAGGACCCTCGTGTGCTTTGCCATAATTAAATACACCACCATTTTGTGTCAGCATATCGTTTTGAATGTAAAATAGTATAAATAGAAAACTTTAAAATCTTTAAAAAATGCTGTACCTTTGGAAAAAAATTCAAAACAGAAACATGTAGAGAGATAGACTTCTATATGTTCCTTCAAAATTTCTTTGTATTCTTTAAATGTTATTTAAATGCAGGCGATAATTTAGAAAAGAAATAGAGTTTGAAATTTCGCATTCAGCTGATTTTAGGATATAAAGAATATAATTTGGAAGAGATACACGTCAGTGCCAAATTTAAGAATACAAGCTACCTTATTTTGGCTTACATTTTGAATAAAACTCTTGCGAGTGCGATCCTACGCAGATCCATCTTCTTCAGTAGCAAAAATTTCTGCAAAATTCTGCAGCGACGACCATATTTATAACGAAGCATTGGGGAGAGCAAAACGAATACTAAAGCATCACCATCTGTTGAAGAAAATACCAACAAGAACATGAAAACTAAGAATTAAAATTTAGGTTTATATTTATGAAACTTCTAATGTAAAATAACACTTGCTGGAAAATATTGTTAAGAAATCTAATTTTTCAAATAATTCATTTATATTTTATAAAAGAACACACTTTTATAAAAATAAAGATATTATGTATAATCCACAACAATGCCTAATTAATCGCGGCCATGATTTCGTCAAAAATGAAAGACCTTATGCCTCATCGGTTAGCAACAGCGCCTGTTTATCTATTGCAAGCATGATTTTATCGCAAGGTTAAAACAATAAGTATTTCTAAGAATTTTCCTTCAAGGTATTTAAAAAATGTTATTTAATATTTCGTCTGTCTGTTAGATCTTAGTCTAGAGACAGCACAGTAGAAGAAATTATTTAAATATGTCTGGCAGAGCCGTGACTAGATATTTTTTCACCTGAGGCAAAAAGGTAAATGCGCGCCCTTCGTATAGCCAATTTGGGGCCCCTTCTGGTGATTCACCTGAGGCAGGTGCCTTACTTCCCTCACCCTTGTCCCTGCTCTGATGTCTGCTATATTTTCTTGCTTGATGCTGAATGTAAAGTTACTGTATTTTTTGTTACTTTAACAGTGCCATCAAATTTATTGCATTCTTGTCATGTTGTCACAAATTTATCATATATTTTAGATTATGCTTATCATATATTCTAGATATAGTTCTGAATAGTAATTTTTATTATGTAGAACACATTTACTTTATTTTTTATTCTATATTTATTTTTACATATTACATCTATACAGGGTGTACCGTAAATGTTGCGACAAACTTCTAGGGAAAGTAGGGCACAACATAAGGATTAAGAATTGCATAGGAACCTATACCCGGAAATGTCAGGGGTAAGTGGTAGAAGATGGGAGAAGGAGCAAGAGTGATTAATTTGAAACGTTTATATTAGACATGAATACAAATGGTGTACGACAGCTTGAATGTTACAGCAGATGCTCGAAGTTTGCACCATCAGACGCCAAACATGCCTGAAACCGACGGACCATTTGAATGCCGCGAATTATTTGATCTTTCTGGAGGAGGTTCTTCCCGATTTGCTTGGCGATCTTCCGCCAAATGTGAGGCGTAACATGTGATTCCAACATGATGGGTCTCCTGCTCATTTTGGACTGGTTGTTCGAAGCCGTTTGAACAGATCATTCCCGCATCGATGGATGGATTGGGCGTGGTGGACCAGTTCCATGCCCCCCCCCCCACGCTCACCAGATTTATCAAGCCTTGATTTCTTTTTGTGTGAAGCCATCAAAAGTGTCGTGTATCACGATCCTGTTGTGTCTGAAATGAATCTCGTGGGAAAACTCGCCTGCGCAGCTGCTACAATCAAAGAAACTCCCGGTGTGTTTAAACATGTCCGGCAATAAATGGTTCGTCGGTGTCAGGCGTCTGATGGTGCTAACTTCGAGCATCTGTTGTAACATCCAAGCTGTCGTATACTATTTGTATTCATGTCCAATAAATGTTTCAAATTAATCACTCTTGTTTCTTTTACCATCTTCTACGTCAGCTACTACTTACCCCTGAGATTTCCGGGCATGGGTTCCTATGCAATTCTTAATTCCTATGCAATTCCCTACCTCCCTAGAAGTTTGTCGCAACATTTACGGTACACCCTGTATATTAAATGTTATAGTTTACATTATATTTATTTTATTTTTATTGCATTATATACTGTAACCACAAAATACTGTCAAAAGTCAGTATTTTGTACTTGCATATTAAAACAAAAACATGCCGTTATTGCAGAATTAAGCAATATACACTTTTTGCTGATTTGTTTTAAAATTAGGCTGTATGCAATTTTGATTTGTTCTTGTTTTTAATTACAATTCTGTGCACGTTTATGGAGATTGATATGGATCTCTGTTCTTCAAGGAGGAAGGGAAGCACAATTCATTTTTCCAGTCTTGGATCCCTACAAATAGGTTGACTGCAGGAGTTTTTCTATTTTTCTCTATGCGTAACGTGAATACGAGCCATTTCGCCTTAAAATGACCTGCACGAAAGCATTCTTCCCTTAGGCTGTAGTGTTTTGTTATAATCTAAATAATCTGACCCATTCCAATTTAATACATTACAAATGTAAACAAAGCAGATAAAACTCAGGATCTCAGACAAAACTGCGGATATTTTTACCAGTCATTTGTCCACACAAATGACAAATGACAACGAGCTGACAATGGAGCTGGTTACAACACAAAAACTACAGAATAGAAACCAGTTGTCAAAAACTACAAAATTATTTCAGTACAATTATTTACTTGGGCATATTGATAATAACTTCGATCGATTCTTTTTGCTGGAGGGGGAGACATGTGCATACTGAGAATATTCACAATATTTCATTCATAATCTTCCATGAATATATTATCTAGTATGTTTCTATACATATATATAGAAAGAGAGAATGCTTTTAAACAATAATCGAGCGGTTTTGTTTAAAATTTTAGATTTATGTGAATTTTTTGGTAGTCGTTACATCAGCAAATTTAAAGAAAATACTAAATACTTTTCATACTAAATAATACATCTTTAAATATTATCATTTTCTCGAATCAAATTATTAAAACCAGTTCCACTAGTGTAGCAACAGAAATAAGTAAACTATTATGTAAAAAATGAAAAATAAGAGATTTAAAATATTTAAAAAAAGTGTATTCCCGGAGAGAACAATGACAGGTAAATAATTAAAACAGGTTTTCTGGTATATCACGGATATATTTCGCCAAATTTTCGCCAAAGAGTATTTTGGTAACCTGACATTGGGGAAAAGCGAAAACCGCAGTGGTCAAGGTTGGGTGCAATGATGAATCTCTTAAAATAATGCTCTATTATCGACGAAAGAAAAGTGACTTCTCTATAAAAGGACATTGCACATTATTTAGAATAGACAAGAAATTTTGATATGGAATTTAAAGGACTTTGTTTCGCGCTGTTCTTACTCGTGCCCGCTGCGTTTGTGAGCGGTGAGTTTTTGTGCAAGATTTCGCATTTGTTATTTATTTATTATAAATAAGAGAAAAATGTAACTTTATAATATTTTTCAGTTTTCTAAAGTTCATATGGAACTTAACGATAAAAAAAAGTAAAATAGTTTATCTAAAAAACTTTAACTTTTATTTAACTATGTTTTGTATCATTTTATTCGTGGTCATAGGTACATCTCAGAAATATTTTTAGATAAGTATTCCTATTTTAGAATAAATTATGTGCGAAAAAAGTATATTGCGTTACATGGTCTTCAGTTAAATGAGCTGAAAAAATAAAATTATCTCTAGTTAATGCTGTATTCTTGCTTATGACTAAGAATATTCTGGTTTAAAAACAAAGGAATCCTTTAGTACACTTGACTAAAACTGTATAATTTGAAAGTTTTTTTCTTACATATTTTATTTTGTTCGCTGCTCATAGAAGAAGAAAAGGAAGATTCGGCAATGTTTATGTCCATTTTCTCTAGAAACTCCATGCTATAATTTTATATGTATAATTAGAAATATGTCAACGCTTTTATAAAGCTTTCTAGCAATATCAAATTTTGATTATTTGATGTCAGCTTAATCACGGTTTCTTTATATGCGGGTCGAAACAATAAGAAAAATACACTAGTTTTTATACAGTTTTCAAAACGTGCAACTGTATCAACCGCACAGAAAATCCAACCAGACATAATCTTATGCAGATAATCTAACTGCCACTGAAATTAGTTCCCGACTGAAGCAATTTGTAGCCCTATGCACAAGACTTTTAACGCTCACTTTGTGAAAGAAACAGAATTGTCAGGCTGTAAGGTATTTCTCCCGCCTTCTTAGCATGCAGTCATGGTGTAGTGGTCAGCACGCTTGACGCGTATTCGAGAGGTCAATGGTTCGAGTCCCCGTGAGGGCATTGCTCATTTTACATCTTTGCTGCTTCGAAATGTCTGTACTAATGTAAACTAATGTCTGTACAAGGCTATAATGGATAATTTTAGCCCCACCCACGTATTTGATGTTTAGGCAATAGTAATACCTTGATCCAAACAACACTTTGCGTGTTGAATAACTACGAAAGAAGTATAATTTTAAAGGGGAACTTAGATAGGAAGAAGAGGTTAAAATGCGTTACAAAATAATTTATTTCTGTTATCTTTTTCAGTATCATTTTTAATTTCAGAGAAAGAAGAAGTGTTCACGTTGAAATGAAGCTTCAACAATACATACCAGCGTATAAAGAGCACCTGTAATTTCAAACTATATATTTTTTATTTTTAGATATATTCCGCATACAAGGCGCACCGATTTCGTCACGAAGAAATTTGAAAGATACATGTACAATGCTGTCATCTTTTAAAGTCGTTCATTGGGAAATTTTTCGCAGACTTTCAAAGAATCGTATGTTGAATTGACAAAGAACAAGAAATATATGTGTGTTGGAAATGCTTGAGGGAGTAAATAATTCTGCAAAGAGGGTATTTAGTAAGTGCAGGTATTCAGTGTATTCAATGCAGGTGTGCACGAGAATGTTATTCCCCAATTTCGAGAAAAGAGCGAAATAATTTGGTATATAAATGTAATTCCGACCCGAATGGATTCGCGGAATTAGGTGTCAAATGTTTTGCCTTTCTGTAGTCATCTGAAGCTGCGATTTTGAAGTGAATATCGAAGGCTTTAGCAAGTCGCATTTGTTTTTACTGAAATACAGTGGTCTAGTGTTTCTTTTAATACTAAATATGGCTCCTGTCAAATGAATCAAACGCAGTGATGGTTTCAAATACAAAATTGTTCAGTTTGCGGCAGAAAAGGGAAATCTTGCTGCAACAAAAACGTTTGGTGTTGGTAAATTTTGCAATCGATTGAAAGTCTTTCGTAAAAAGTGTTGTTGTCAATATAAAACCAAAATTTTCTTTTACATATTCAGGAAATTTGTACTAAAATTAATTATTTAACACTTATAATCCACTTTCTTAATTAGTAAAGCAATGTAAAATGGAATTTAGAACATAAACCTACAAAAGTAACAAAATTCAGTATAATAATAAGAATATAAAAATTGGCAAACATAGGTAAGTCCTCTACAATGCAAATCAGCGTAACAACTTGCTGATGACTATGGCATGCCTAAATACAATAGAATCTAAAACCTCCGTTTCTTAATAAAGGTAACTGGCTTCTAGTATTGTATAATTATCAAGGTTTGCATTTATAACATATATAACGAGATAATTTCCCTTCTCCACGAAGGCAACCCTTCCCTTAGGCAGATAGCCCACGAGGCTTTGATATAATCACATAAAACAAACTAAACCAACCAAACTTAACACAAGCATTTCCATCCTATGGGCAAATCCACATTAACCAATTACTGTATACTCACGAATGATTATAGGCGACGCTCGCGGCAATTACTTATAAAGGCTCCCGTTCCTTGTTTCAAGGCAACTGGCCTTTTTTGGGCTGTGCTGTAATACTCCATTAAAAAAATAACACACTCCATTGCATTAAAAATATTAATATTTGCATGCAGAAAATAAAAGTGGAAGCCTTCCAATTTTATCTGAATAATTCATAATTTTTAAACTTAATTAACATAATTCCATACTAATAATAATTATTCAGTTTCTTGAATTACTCATATTTTTAAGTCATTACACTATTCTATAGCAGAGCATTTAATATTTTCTATAACAATACTCAAAAACACTATTTGTTTATCATATTCTATATTAATTTTTCAAAATTATTTCATTCACTTAAAAATTCTTAATGCTGGTGACGTAGACTGATTTAGAAATGATGCAGTCCAGAAAAGTAATTACGACTTTTAGACTAGAGAGGTCAAATTTAAGGGGCAGTCGCTAGTTTAAATTATAATTTTGATTTACATATTTTTTATTTTCATGTATATGCTGTATAAAACACATATACCCCAAATGAAATGTAAACATTTGTTTATAAATCAGTACGCGTACACATACGTTCATGTACAATGTAGCATCGTCTGTATGTCATTCCATCTCTGCTTTGAATCATTCCCATTCATAATTACTAGCAAAGCATTTCATTTATACAACGCTTACCTCCGCTTAATGTCATTTCTCTTTGACTTATCTAACGACGTTTCTTTTCGAGCCTTAAACAATTTTCAAGAAAGTCGTTTTTTTCCTTCGATAAACATTAGGAAATTGTATATTGAGATACTGGGGGGAGGAAGGAAGACGTGGGATATCTCAGACTGAATGTGGTTTCATCCTTGGCTGGTAGACAGAAGGAATGTCGCTTGGAAGGTTAGAACAGATAACAAGTTTTAATTGGACTATTGTTTGTTCTTTGCTTTCTTAGTGCTTTGCTTAAGGCTTTGAATCAAACGACACATCAGATGACAACTGAAGTTTTTTTTTTTTTTTTTTTTTTTTTTTTTTTTAGTAAAATTTGAAACCTGAATCTGTGGTGTTAAAATATTTTTGGAAAAAATCTTGGAATTCAAACCTAAAAGACAGTATAGAGAATGATTCTTGAATATGGCAATAAAATAGCTGTTCTATTGCTATCAGATGTGTAACGTGTATACGAGCCAGTTTCCCTTAGAAAGTCTCCACGAAGGCATCCCTCCTTTCAGGTAGATAGCCCTCGTGTGCTTTGCCATAATTGAATAATCTATTCCAATCCAATCTTACCCGGGCTCTTCGGTACTGTAGTAGGCTCCCCTAACCATTCAGAACACAGGACTCGGGATTTGCAAATGGTGTTTTCACTGATGGCTCTAAAACTCCAGGGGGCACAGGAAGCGGATTCTGTATCCTTTCTGGAGGAGCTTTAACGTATGAGTGGAAAAGAAAGCTCGCTTCTGTAAACTCTGTCTTTCAGGCGGAGCTCATAGCAATCAGAGCAGCTCTTCTCCACCTGAAGAATAATCCCACAGTGCCCAATATCATCTACACAGACTCAGCCTCAAGTCTCGCTACGATAGCTGGAGTTCGTTCTCGCAGCCCTATCGTCAGCAGCATTAGACATTCTAACCCACATGCTTGCTTCGCAAAGACCCTCACTCATCTGAGTGCCCGCTCATACAGGAATAGAAGGAAATGAGAGAGCAGATGTTGTCGCAAAGGAAGCAGCGGATTCATCCACTTTGCGAGAAGTCCCGATCCTTAGATTACGTCACCAGTCTCAGACCTAAAGAGTCGGACATTCCCTCAGCTCCAATATGGCAATAACGTTGGGATCAAGCCTCCACAGGGAGACGTGTTTACAATCTCATTCCCAAGGTCAAGACAACAATCCAAACTACTAGCAATTACATGACGTATTTCCTCACTGATCATGGGCCCTTCCCTTCATACCTCTGCCGCTTTGGCTTGAGAGAGAATGGTAACTATGAATGTGGGGAGGAGGGTCATCCAGACCATTTTGTGTTCTCTTGCCCACACACATTACTTAACAGCCTCAAGCAACCAGGAGCCAGATTCTAGCCAAATTGGTTCCAGAACTTACGAAGTAACAGAGTTGCCCAGCAGTTCCAGAACTTACAAAGTAACAGAAAACAATAATTGACTGCTGTACTAGCAATTACTCTTCTGACGCTGGAAGATAGTAGTCATGAAAGTCTATACAAGCTAATTCAATATGTTAGCAACAGAGTATGTGATATGTATGCTCAATATGTAATTTCGTATGTATGCTGTGCCAGGTTCTCATACATAAAGTTCGTACCGTATCTGAATGCTGTAATATATCTGTACATGTTTATATCTTCTTTTTATGGTACCTAATTTATACTAAGGATCATGCGTACCTCAATGGCATGTTTCTTGTAAACTTTAACTATCACGATAACGTATATGTATGGATGTATATATCAATATGAGTGAGAGTATGTATAAATTTTTTTCGGAATATATATGTATGTAAGTGTGTATATATCTGTATATGAGTTGGTATTTATATGTATATACATATATTTTGATTGTACTCTTCTTCAAGTGCCTTGTATGTACATGTATATCTCTTTTTTGCATTTTATAAATGTCGTCTGCTCAGCCGGGGCTGCCCAGGGCTGCGGCCAGGTAGCTAGTGGTTGACTCCCGCCGAGTTGGTAAGAAATTCTGCATGGATATATCTATACCTGGGTCGGAAGCCAACTCAGCGGTTCACCTCCCCTAACCATTATACCATTTGGGCGAAAATGAACAGCGAAGACGATAAGAGACAGGGAAATCTTCAGTTTGATGGATGAGACATTGCAGAGAAAAAGCGCAAAAACTTAATTAGGGAGGCGAAAATTTACTGAAACAACACATCTAAAAATTTTGGAGCTCTGCTAAAATGCTGCCTCCATCGTTGGTGATCGCAGCGCCTCCTCCCCAGCGAACATTTTTCAATACTGTACAACATACTCGATTCCTCGAAATTGCTGGAAGACATATACAGCTACAGTTACATATGGATTGGACCAGTTACAATTATACAGGGATCAGACCGAAATGTCGCCAATAAACATTAGTCGCCAAAACCTCGTCAGCTCTGCGCTATCTCGCCAATTTAGCAATATAACCATTTAATTCAGTGTTAAATGGACTTACAGGAAGTACAAAACAAACGACAGGAAGTTCTCTAATTAAGCAAATGTTTATCAGAAGTCTGATTATTGTTACGAGGTTTAAAGGGTAGACTGAAAGGAATTGGTACTTCTATTCTCATTACGACTTTCAGATAGAAAAATTTTATGTGCCAACATTCCACGGATGGTTTCGTAGTCGCATGTGCGATAAGCGGGCATCTGGAGGGGAAGCTGGGATGAAACGTGATAGGTGTATATAAGATTTTAACTAAATTAAATGTACTTTGCTGGCTAGATCATAAACTGTGATGCGACTATTTACTAAGTTCGACTGTATCAATGACAGGACGTGAGAAAGGTGAAAAGACCCCTTAATCAATTCAAGAACAAATTTATAGACGCCACTCTTGGTGCATATAAACTTAGCCTATACTTTTGACTATAGCTCAAAATAGAAATATAAAATTAAAACTAAGTTAAATAATCAGTCGAAGTTGCACATAGATAATTAACTCGAGTTGGCTCTTAGCTCTACCACGGACGTACACCTGCAATTAATGTGCACGGCTTTAATTAGCAAGCTTAAATCAGTTAAATAACGTGGCAGAAGTAACTCAGAAACTAGCTTAAACAGTATCTTCTGGTCCTACTCTGCTTATCAAGCGAAACTAAAGTATCATTTTGGCAAGAAATGGATATGAGAGAAGAAAGAAAAATAACTAAAAAAACTGGTTAAACTTAAAATAACATTCCTTACAACTTATTAGATAAGACTCTTCAATGCAATTTTTAAAAAAATTTTTATATTTTACGAAGTAAAGGAAGTATTGTAAAAAAAATCGTGAAAAATTTCGGGTGTCATATTTCAACATAAATATCCATTTTGACCTTTCCCGAATCCATTTGGACGATTTATCTTACGTAATGTTTGAACGTACGGACAGATTAAGGACTGTTTTTTTCCAAAACGGAATGTAAAATGGATTTAAAGGTGATTTCAAAAGAGATTTTTCTCATGCATGTATGTATTTCACATAACTCAAAAACGATTAGCCATGAAACGTTGACATTTTGTATGTGAGACTGCTATATCATCTAATTATGCACCTACACTTCCCCCCTACTTCCACTTATTTATTTCAGTTCGTAAGATATTATGTTAGAATAAAATAACGAATTACGTTTATAAGGTATTTCTCCCGCTTTCCTAGTGTGCCTTCGGGGTGCAGTTGTTCTGCACGCTGGGCCGGTATTCCAACGTTTGCAAATGAAAGACCGTGAAGACGAGATCGTTATAAGATTATGAAACTCATTTATTTTCTTTGCTTTCTGGAATCTAACGCATCCTAGATACTCCAGTATTACTTCTGATATGTTGAAATTATGCATGTATTTCAAATAATATAATATATATTTTATTACTTTATAGGGCAGGGTTTTCATCCGCCTGGTCAAATATCCGAAGTATGTTTTGACTGCTTGTGTGAGGTAAGTTGAACAATAAAATCTATAAATATATTATATCCTTCTGTTCATATTTAAAGGAACAACTTATTTTTTTATGACTTCGTATTATGTTACACGTGGTTAAGCTCTTCGCATCATTACAGTATTTACCCAGGCCTGTATTTTAAAGTCAAATATCTATGCAAAAAGAGACTTTAAACTATCGATTCGCAAGGTGACTCATAATGATCTTTGGAATTTTAGTACAACTATATATTACAGATTAAATGAATACGGTGACATAGTTAATGCATAGTGAAATGTTGGAACATTTTTAACTCTACAAATCTTTATACGTGTCCACCGTTATGTGACAATCGTTTATCTTGGAATTTTATTTGGCATTCACTCGTTCAGCTTAGCTTGTTTATCTACCATATTTTCTTGCGTATAACGCTCACTGGTGTTATAACACGCATCTATAATTTCAAGCTATATTTTTTAGGTATATTCGCCGCATAACGCGCACCCAATTTTTCACGAAGAAACCTAACAGATACATGTGCGTTGCTCTTATCTTTTGAGGTCACCTATTCGAACATTTTTCCTAGCCTTTTGAACAATGGTCAACCGCACCAACAAGCCATAAGGGGAACGATATATGTGTGGGTTAAATGCTTGAGGGAGTAAATATTCCGGAAAAGAGGATGGATTGTATTCAATGCAGATGCACTCCCAACTTGAATGAATTTTTGGAATTAGGAATTAAATGTTTTCTCTTTCTGTAGTCATTTAAAGCCGTGATTTTGAAGTGAAAATCGAAGGCGTTAGTAAATCGCATTTACTTTAGTTGAAATATAGTTCATCTAGTAGTTCTTTTAGTAGTTAATACGGCTCCCGCAAAAAGAAACGAACACAGTACGAGTTTCAAATGCAAAGCCATTCATTTTACGAAAGAAAATGGAAATCGTGCTGCAGTAAGGATGTTTGTTATTGATGAAAGTTGCAACGGATAATGATTATTTATTTATGGATCAAAATAACATTGATGGTGAAGATGAAAAAAAATTCGAGGATGCGCTTGAAGATGTACTCTTCATGTTATCCAATAATGAAAATGTTTAATTTCGTAACGTATGTCATTTCTTTTAAATAAGCAACATTTTGGTGCATGTAAAAAAATTCAATTTTTTCCTTATTTTCAAGCTATCATTTTCATATCCGGTGTATAACGCCCACCCGTAAATTTCGGTCCTATGTTTCGTATTAAAAGTGCGCGTTATACGCAGAATATACGGTAAGCCATTGTTCCAGATTCTTTTTTTTTAATTTCAAAAAAGTAGCAGCACAAAACACCTGATTCTTGTATTAGAGTCAGGAGATTGATTCGAAAAGCGTTAATTCTAGTAATCGAGGCGGACAGACAGGATGGACTAGGTCATCGGCTGAAAGACAAAGTCCACTTGTTGAGTAACTTCTCATTGAAATAATGCAGAGTATTGTCTGAAATTCGGTTGGCTACCCCAACCTGGTTGTCTTGAGATTCAATAAGGCTTTACTGTGGCTATCACTCAGGTGGAGAAGAAATAGCCGAAGGCGTGTAGATCGAAGTTAATTACGGGACAGGTATTTGCCGTGAGAAGGGGTTTGTAAAACCTACAGAATTTTTTAAACTTGTTTCTTCCATCACGACTATGCGATTCTAATTCTTTCCACTACAATGCAACGAGCCACCCTGTTGGCATGGTCGTAGGAAATTCGTCTGCCCTTTATCTTGGGCCAACGATGGAATACATATGGGGCACTTAAAACACCAAAAAGTTGAAAATCTTTTCGAGAGGCTGCAGGTAGGAAAGGAGCAGCATTATAACATCTGATCGGGAGTATTATAACATGTGAAATGCATTTACTTTGATCAGTGCAGTGGTTGATGTCTAGTCTAGTTTCTGTTGTTGATGTAACTTTTTCGCACTTGTCTACTATTCACATGAACTGTATTGTATGAATTTTAGCTTTGAGAGAAGCGTAGGTTTGTTTTTGTGATTGGCCTGGGTCATATTATGAGCAACAACTTGACTTTGCCCGACTCTCACTTCTCTTTCTCTACCACCAAACCACCTGAGAGACCTTTCGGCTTTCCTTCTGCTTTAAATGTTCCTTCCATGCCTTTTCCAGGGTTGCGCCCAGCGTGCAAACCACCACACCACGAAGGCATGCCAGGAGAGCGGGAGAAATACCTTATAATATGAAACCCAACATCGCTAACCACTGTACCAAACAGGGTGGCTATTATATGCATTGAATTTATTTGTTTGTATTTAATTGTGGATAGTGTAATTTTTGTATAAGTTGCATCGTATATATATAGTATATACACAACATAGTGAATTTTAAAGAGTACATTTATTCTATTGTGCTATCGACGAAGTAGATTTAATGGTAAACAAATATAGTAAATTTTAAAGAGAGCATTTATTCTATTGTGATTTATGCGCTATCGACGAAGTAGATTTAATTCAATCCAATAAGTTTAAATGAAATGCAAGAAAAAAGGCGTATAATTTAATATTCCGTACAAGGAAGTAATGTGGTGCACACATCAGATTTTTTACCATGTGACTCCCAACGGATTCGCAGACATACGGATAGAAAGTTGAACATAGTTGAACTGCATCAACCGGATTGCAGATCTCAATGAAAGTGAATTCGCTCGCTAATTGAAGAAACGCATACGCAGTAACAGCGCTTAAATATGTTTTACGGCCACTTTTCTTCGAGTCCTCGGTAGTATAGTGGTGAGTATCCCCGCCTGTCACGCTGGAGACCGGGGTTCGATTCCCCGCCGGGGAGGATTCGTGATTATTTTGGTCTTGAATACGGGGCTAGTACGTATAGTAGAGGCCGAAATCCAGTTGGCATGTACTATTCCAATAACGGGGTAACATTTTGCAGTGTTTCGTGATTCCGGTTGTCATGATTTTGTCGTTTGAATATTTTATCTCTTTCAGTACAAGAGGAATCCTAATTTATGTAATCCGCTAACGAATATAAGTTTCTAAAAAGGCATGTCCTCTAAAATATTAAAGTTATTTCATCTAAAGTCCTATTACAGTTATGTCGTCTGAAGTCATCTCATGAACGAGTTTTGTTTTCTAATTTTCCACATAAAATACTGAGAACATTTAGTTTAAAAGAAATCTTCAGTATAAAAGATTTCTTTAAAAATTGAATCAATAGAGTAAGTCTAAAAAGTGAACCAGTTAGGAAGAGAGTTCACGTGAAAAAATAAAGAAAGAAAGAAATAATAACAACAGAAAAAATTTCGTTCTCATTAATTATGTACCCCATCCTATCTTTCGGATAGAACAAAGCTGGGTTGAGCAGAAATTTTTCTGTATATTAAAAAACATTTTTGTGCACTACAGCATAAAATGCCCTGTTAGTGTCTCATCAAAGATCTTTAGTCGCATCAAAGAAAATTAACTACATTACGAAATGTGCATAAGATAAGATTCTTTAGATCAGTGCTTTCAGATTTTTTTTATTTTGTATTTTATTTCTCTCTTTTTTAATGTTTTTCTCGTAATTCACACTAATCACACACTCTAATTTAAATATATGTGTGACACATGTTCTACTTAAAATTTTGCGTGTAAAGACTAAAAAAGTGAATTACGCTAATTCGGTAAACAGATTACCGAACTATCTAAAACGGCTACTTTTATTAGTTTAAAAAGATTTTATGATATTCAAGGAAAATCTCAATTTCATTACCTTCGTAACTGCAGTTTAAAACGTTAAGTAATGCTAACTTAGCATAGAAGAAATATTTTTTTAGGAATATTTATTTAAAACTGCAAACTAAGAAATCAGAAAATTAAATTTTGTAAATCACTTTTGTGAACTACTTTTTCAAAACACTTTAGATCATGCTAGGTGAAGAACTATTTTAAATATTTTTTCTTTTGAGCTTAAATATCAGTATTAAAAAAAAAAAAAAAAAAAAAAAAAAAAAAAAATCGTTATAACAATTTTTATTTTTCAAAGTAGTTTTTGAGGACTTGAATGGTGGTAATCCAAATTTAGTAGTCAACTTCATTTCCTTTAAAGGATTTGAGGTTTTAAAGATTTTTTTGTCTAATTTTCAGACAGTAAATAATTTTCTCAGAAATGAGTTTTCTTTTCGTGAACAATCCTGAATATTAAAGTTTACAATGACAAGAAATTTGAAAATAATAAAACAAACAGCAATTAAATTAATTAAACATAGGAGAGAGGAATAACTAAAGTCATTGATTAGTTAACTGTTTACCGCAAAGAAGCCAACGACTATTTTACCTCAAGGAGAAATGCCTTCGCAGAAGAATTTCTAAGGGAAATTGTTAGTAATGCCCTTACTCATAGGTAAAGGTATGAAAAACCCCTGCTAACATCTCTTTTGTTGCGAACTGAATCCTAGACGCCCTATCTATTTGGGTATTGGTAAACCGAATAGTTTGGTCAGAAAGTCCATGGTATGTTAAACTGGAAACATTTCTGTTACGACTTTTTTCCCATAACAACATAGGAAATTCTTTTGCTGAATGATAGAACATTTTTTTATAATCTGCATAGTTTGGTCACAGTTAAGGTCGTCACGTAAGGTTATAATACTGAGCTGAAATTCAGAGCCATGGTTAGGATTTTTAGAGCCCAGGTACAACTGAAGATTTCGCGCCTCCTCCTGTGTGCCAGGAATAAAAAACTTATCATTCTAAAATTTCATAACATCAATTTGGCGCCCTATAGATGCTGCGTCTGGGGACAGATGTCTCCCCCCCCCCTAGCTTTCCGCCAAGCTACGCCGCTGCTGAACCTGTTTAAATAATTTTTGTTAAATTACGCAAAAAACATCCAAACTAATAAAATAGCTAGTATAACCGGCGGCAGGATTTAGGAGCTGTCAAAATTTTTAGAATTTAGAGAAAAACCGAGCAGCAAAATTTAGGAATGCCCAAATTAAAAAAATTTAAGGAAGCAATGGGAAGCAAAATTTAAGGTCT